CTCTCTTTGTATATACATGAATTACAAAACCCCTTTTTTATAACAGAAATACCACTCTTTTTTATATACCTGAATATACAAACTCTCTGTAATAAACAGTATCAAAAACCCCTTTTTTTATACAATGAGATATCAACACTCCGTATTAAACCCGAGTTTTTAAAAACCTCTTTGTAAATACAAAAATATACAACCTCTCTGTAAAATAACGAAATCAACACTCTTTTTATATACATGAATAAAACAAACTTTGATATACACTGGATATACAACTCTATTATAAAAGAAATAAAAACTCTTTTATATTTCCGGATTACAAAAACCTTTTTTATTACATGAGATATACAAACCTTTTTTATATAACTGAGTAACAACACTCTCTTTTTTAAAACACTAAATATTCAACACTCTTTGTATAACACTGAGATTACAAAACTCTCTTTTTTTACACTGAGTATACAAACTCTTTTTATATACCTGAGATTTAAAAAACACTCTTTGTAAATTCCGAGATATACAACATTTTTTTGTATATACAAGAATAACAACACTCTTGTTAACACTTTGGAATAAAAAACTCTTGTTATACACTGAATAAACAACACTCCTGTATTACACTGAATATACAACACCTTTTATAACACTGAGATAAAAACATCCTTTTTATTTAAAATGAGAATACAAAACTCTTGTATATCACTGAAAATCAACACTCTTTTTAAGCACTGAGAAATTTTCAAACACTCTTGATAAACACGTATACAAAACCTTTTTTTATATACACGAATATACAACACCTTGTTAAACATGGTTACAACACTCTTTGTATATACACGAGATATCAACACTCTTGAATACAGGGAGAAAAAACAAAATCTTTTATATACCGAATAACAAAAACCCTTTGTTATACACTGAATATACAACACTCTCGGGATAACACTGAATATAAACACTCTTTGTATATAACTAGATATACAACACTTTTTATATACACTGAGATATCCCAAAACTCTCTTATATACCTGAAATATACAACCTCTTGTATAACACTGAATATACAACCCCCTCTTGATATACAATGAATATACAACATCTTTGTTTAAACACTGAGATATACAACACTCCTTATAACCTGAGATTAAAAAAACCCCTTTGTTTACACTGAGAATACAACACTCTTGTATATACACTGAGAAATTTTCAACACTCCTTTTGTAATACACGAGATTACCACACTTTTGTAATACACTGAGATTATAACAAAAACACTCTTTGTATAACCTGGATATACACACTCCCTGTATTAACTGAGAATACAACCTTTTTATATACACTAGATATCAACACCCCTGTAATACACTGAGATAACAAACCCTTTGTATATACACTGAATATACAACATCTTTTATATACACTGAAAAAATTTCAAAAACTCCTGTATATCATGAATTTCAACCCCCTTTGTATAACACTGAGATATACAAATTTTTGTATATACACTGGTATCACACCTTGTATAACACGAAATACAACACTCTCTTTTTTATAAAATGAGAAATTCAACATTTTTTGTATAACAATGAGTAACAACACCTCTGTAATTCCCCTGAGATATACACACTCTTTGTTATAATGAATAACACACTTTTTGTATTACACTGAATATACAACACTCTGTATATACACTGAATATTTCAAAACTCTTTTTTTTAAACTGGAAATTTCAACACTCTCTTATAACATGAAAATACAACACCTTTGTTTTTACACTGAATAACAAATCCCGTATATACACTGAGTATACAAAATTCTGTATTACACTGAGTTTAAACCCTCTGTATATAACCCGAGATAACCACCTTTTGTATTACCTGAATATACAACATCTCTTTTTATTACACGAAATACAACGTCTTGTAAAACACTGAATTCAACCTTCTGTAAATACACAGTAACAACACCTCTGTATATCCTGAAATACAACCTCGTAATACACTGAATAACAACTCTCCTGTATATACACTGAATTACAACAATCTTTTAAACACTAATATACAAAACTCTCTGTTATACACTGAAATACAACCTCTCTGTATTACACTGAATATACAACACTCCTGTATATACACTGAGATATACAACACTCTCTGTATATACACTGAGATATACAACACTCTCTGTATATACACTGAGATATACAACACTCTCTGTATATACACTGAGATATACAACACTCTCTTTGTATATACACTGAGATATACAACACTCTCTCTGTATATACACTGAGATATACAACACTCTCTGTATATTCACTGAGATATACACACCTCTCTTTGTATGTACACTGGGATATATAATACTCTCTTTGTATATACAATGAAATATATATCACTTCCTGATATATACACTAATATCTTTGTATTTACTCTTAAGATATGCACATATTTCTTTATATACACAGAATTGTACTCAAATCTCTTTGTATATACACCGTGATATACATAAATTCCTGTGTATATGCACTGAGATATACACAAATTTCGGTGTATATACTTAATCTTAAGATTATCAGGTATTTTTTATCTAGTATATTGCGTGATACTTAGCATCAATATTCCCCTCAACATCCGCCGCTATAAATACCAGTATTACCTAGAAGTATTTGCTTAGAGGTTAGACAGGGGATTAAAGAAATTTCAGAGGCATGCACGAGAGCTGCAGGAGAAGTGTGGGCATTGATACCCGCTCTAATAAGTAAGTTAAGTTAAGCAAGTAAGTAAGCGTATACTCCTACAGTTACACTGTCTTTGGATAATTAAATTAGGATAAACCAAGAAAGTTAAAGTGACTTATTTCCACTGGGGTGCTTATTTATTTCTAGTGGGGTCCTAACTTATTTCTAGTAGGGTCCTAACTTATTTCTAGTGGGGTCCTAACTATTTCTAGTGGGGTTCTAACTTATTTCTAGTAGGGTCCTAACTTATTTTTAGTGGGGTCCTAACTTATTTCTAGTGGGGTTCTAACTTATTTCTAGTGGGGTGCTAACTTATTTCTAGTGGGGTCCTAACTTATTTCTAGTAGGGTACTAACTTATTTCTAATGGGGTCCTAACTTATTTAGGGGTCCTAACTATCTAGTGGGGCCCTAACTTATTCAGTGGTTCTAACTATTTCTAGTAGGGTCCTACTTATTTCTAATGGTCCTAACCTATTTCTAGTGGGGTCCTAACTTATTTCCAGTGGGGTCTTAACTTATTTCTAGTGGGTCCTAACTTATTTCTAATGGGATCCTAACTTATTTCTAGTGAGGTCCTAACTTATATCTAATGGGATCCTAACTTATTTCTAGTGGGGTCCTAACTTATTTCTAGTGGATCCATAACTTATTTCTAATGAGGTCCTAACTTATTTCTAGTGGGTCCTAACTTATTTCTAGTAGGGCCCTAACTTACTTCTAGTGGGTCCTAACTTATTTCTAGTGGGGTCCTAACTTATTTCTAGTGGGTCCTAACTTATTTCTAATGAGGTCCTAACTTATTTCTAGTGGGTCCTAACTTATTTCTAGTGGGGTACTAACTTATTTCTAGTAGGGTCCTAACTTCCTTCAAGTGGGTCCTAACTTATTTCTAGTGGGGTCGTAACTTATTTCTAGTAGGGTCCTAACTTATTTCTAATGGGGTCCTAACTTATTTCTAGTGGGGTCCTAACTTATTTCTAGTGGGGTCCTAACTTATTTCTAGTGAGGTCCTAACTTATTTCTAATGGGGTCCTAACTTATTTCTAGTGGGGTCCTAACTTATTTCTAGTGGGTCCTAACTTATTTCTAATGAGGTCCTAACTTATTTCTAGTGGGTCCTAACTTATTTCTAGTGGGGTCCTAACTTATTTCTAGTAGGGTCCTAACTTACTTCTAGGGTCCTAACTTATTCTAGTGGGTCCTAACTTATTTCTAGTGGGTCCTAACTTATTTCTAATGGGGTCCTAACTTATTTCTAGTGGGGTCCTAACTTACTTCTAGTGGGTTCTAACTTATTTCTAGTGGGGTCCTTACTTATTTCTAGTGGGGTCCTAACTTATTTCTAATGGGGTCCTAACTTATTTCTAGTGGGGTCCTAACTTATTTCTAGTGGGGTCCTAACTTATTTCTATTGGGGTCTTAACTTATTTCTAATGGGGTCCTAACTTATTTCTAGTGGGTCCTAACTTATTTCTAGTGGGTCCTAGCTTATTTCTAATGGGGTCCTAACTTATTTCTAGTGGGTCCTAACTTATTTCTAGTGGGGTCCTAACTTATTTCTAGTGGGGTCCTAACTTATTTCTAGTGGGGTCATAACTTATTTCTAATGGGGTCCTATCTTATTTCTAGTGGGGTCCTTACCACTGAGTTCTGACTTATTTCCACTGGGGTCCTAACTTATTTTTAGCGGGGTATGGAGTGGTACAGTGGCTATAGGGTTAATTATGGAGTTGTTTACAGTGGTTGTGATCAATGGGTTACATGAATTTTCACGTTACTTATGACAAACACTGGAGTAAGTGTCATATTCATTGAGAAATTCCTTCGGAGAACGACGGGAGGCTCTGATTGGTCAGGATACCTACTTTCCAGGCGTGACGTCACTGGTTCTCAACGCGGGGGAGGAGGCGTCAGCCAATCAGATCGTCCAGGGGGGAATCAGACTCGCGAACTATTACGGAATGCTTCGTTCACCTTCCCAGTGTAATTCTCTATCTTACGTTATCAGGGGCCCTGACTCTTCTCCACCGATGCAGGTTATGTTATACGAAATGTGAATGAGGTTCAGGGGGTTTAAGAAAAGAAAAGCGTGGAAAATCGAGGAGAAATTTGGAAATTAATTAAAGATGTCGGATGAAAGATTGGGAAAGGGGACGATAACAAGTGAGAGTGTTGGCTAGGAGTGGCCGCCCACCAGGTAGGCAGATACCTAGTATAAGTTGGGGGCGGACGGCCCTCAACCACCCAATTGGTGGCTGACATCCTACAGGTGAGGAGTTGAGGGAAGAGAAGGAGAGAGTCGGGAAAACAAAAAAAAAGAGAATCACAAGGAAAGGGATAAAGGTAAAAAGTAAAGGAAAGACATAAGAGACGGAGGGGTGATTCGCAGTCGTACCATCGCGCGAGGCACACACAAAATATAATAAAAAGTAAACACAAACTTTGGAAGTCAGTCCCTGGTGTTGTAAGGTACATAACTGCCTCTTGAAGCTTCCCAGGGGTTGCTCTGTCCTCCCAGTGAAGCCTACACAAGCTTCACACTTCAGAATCAGCACACTAACAGTAGGAGGAGAGTCGTAACGACCACAGGTCTACCAGGAAGCTCACTCTTGCTGAGACGATGCTTACCAACGCTCGCTGCAGCCTCACCTCTTGAGCTCACTGACAACACCTCCAATAACAACACCTACAACAACAACAAGGTAAGTTCTCGTTTGTGTTACTACTTAACCTGTGTAGCTTTAAACAATAGGTTAGACAAGTAGCACTGAAAATGGGTTGTACCAATATTTTTGTTATTGGGTTTGAGGAAGACGTGCCTAGTATGGGCCAGTAGGCCTACTGGACCTAAAACTTCAACTTCCGTTGAGACTATGATCTAGAAATCGGAAAATTTGCAGCTGACTGCGTGAGTGAGGAGTGACTGTGTAAGTGTTGACAGGGACTAGATAGTGTGGCACAGTCGTTACTGAGATAGTGTGGTCACAGTCGTTACTGAGATAGTGTGGCACAGTCGTTACTGAGATAGTGTGGTACAGTCGTTACTGAGATAGTGTGGTACAGTCGTTACTGAGATAGTGTGGTACAGTCGTTACTGAGATAGTGTGGCATAGTCGTTACTGAGATAGTGTGGCACAGTCGTTACTGAGATAGTGTGGTACAGTCGTTACTGAATACTGTGGTACAGTCGTTACTGAGATATGTGGCACAGTCGTTACTGAGATATGTGGTACAGTGTTACGGATAGTGTGTACAGTCTTACTGAGATATGTGGTACAGTCGTTACTGAGATACTGTGGTACAGTCGTTACTGAGATACTGTGGTACAGTCGTTACTGAGATACTGTGGTACAGTCGTTACTGAGATACTGTGGTACAGTCGTTACTTAGAGTGGAACAATAAGTCCCTGAAGACAAGCGCTGACTGATGCATTTGTATCCAACGCTCTCATACGTAGTGTGTGTACGTCGTAACTACATACTGTGGACAGTACGACGTAGAATCATGAAGGTGAACTGACGCATCCTAGACAACCTCAAGCTACAGACAGTAACTAAACAAACAGCACGTCTAGATCACTGCTAGAATTTACTGAACACAATACACTTAAACTAATTATATATAACTTATGAGGTCTTGTAATAATTTTTATATGTTACAAGGTCTTAGAGTGCAACAAGTTACCAACACATTAAAACATTATAACAGCTTTTAAAGGGTGGAGTGGTAAGCCAGCTGGGAAGGTCGGTCAGAGACCTAAAAAACTCCACGGCGGTACAACCATAGTAACAAGACCAACGTCAGAAACACCTACTATTTCTGACAACTAACCAAACCTTTAACTAACTAAATAACCTAACTAACTAATCTTATTACAACCTCTAGGGCTACACTAAGTACCTAACCTAACCTATAACAGCTTTAAACTGAAGGTTAACCTAACCTAATACCTAACAACTCAAGGTAACCATAACCAACCTCAGTAACACCTTATTCTAACCTAACCTAACCTAACCTAACCTAACCTAAGCTAACCTAACCTAACCTAACCTAACCTAACCTAACTTAACCTAACCTAACCTAACCTAACCTAAGTTAACCTAACCTAACCTAACCTAAGTTAACCTAACCTAACCTAATTAACCTAACCTATAACCTAAGCTAACCTAACTAACCTAACCTAACCTAACCTAACCTAAGCTAACTAACCTAACCTAACCTAACCTAACCTAACTTAACCTAACCTAACCTAACCTAACCTAACTTAACCTAACTTAACCTAACCTAACCTAACCTAACCTAACTTAACCTACATTAAGTATACATCATGTCAATTTTCACCAGGATAACCTAGTGAAACACACCGTTGTATATCAGCGTTGATTTACGGATCACGAAAACAACGCAGCGTTGATTTACGGATCACGAAAACAACGCAGCGTTGATTTACGGATCACGAAAACAACGCAGCGTTGATTTACGGATCACGAAAACAACGCAGATAATGTTAAGAAAATTTGAACAGCCAGGATGATGTTATAATAATTAATAAGCAGCCCTGGTGAAGACATCCTCAGGAGATGTAGACTACGACAGTTTATCGTAGCTGGGAAAATGCTACAGAAAAATTTATGTAATAAGAAAGAACTACGTGAAGAAGGAAATATTTGATAACACTAGATAGTGAAACTTGAAAGTTAAAGTTCTTGTAGATAACTACGATATTATCTTGTAGAACACTGGAATATTGTGGAGTGCAGGTGGAGTGTGGCTGGAGTGGAGTGGAGGGGGCTGGAGTGGAGTGGAGGGGGTGGAGTGGAGTGGAGGGGGCTGGAGTGGAGTGGAGGGGGGTTGGAGTGGAGTGGAGGGGGGTTGGAGTGGAGTGGAGGGGGGTTGGAGTGGAGTGGAGGGGGGTGGAGTGGAGTGGAGGGGGGTTGGAGTGGAGGGGTGGAGGATGGAGGGGCTGGAGTGGAGTGGAGGGGGGCTGGAGTGGAGTGGAGGGGGGCTGGAGTGGAGTGGAGGGGGGCTGGAGTGGAGTGGAGGGGGGTGGAGTGGAGTGGAGGGGGCTGGAGTGGAGTGGAGGGGGGTGGAGTGGAGTGGAGGGGGGTGGAGTGGAGTGGAGGGGGGTTGGAGGTGGAGTGGAGTGGAGGGGGCTGGAGTGGAGTGGAGGGGGGTTGGAGTGGAGTGGAGGGGGGCTGGAGTGGAGGGGGTTGGAGTGGAGTGGAGGGGGCTGGAGTGGAGTGGAGGGGGGCTGGAGTGGAGTGGAGGGGGTGGAGTGGAGTGGAGGGGGCTGGAGTGGAGTGGAGGGGGGCTGGAGTGAAGTGGTAGGGGCCTCGCTATACCTCGAGTTTAGATAGAGTTAAAAGGGTCAGGCTTACTTGCTAGTGTTAGTTATGATGTAACTAGGTAGCTGCCTGGGCTTTGTAGCCTGTGTAACTTTGTTATCACTGTACTCTTCTGTACTCCATACATGTGTCTCTCCATACCACTCTCTCCATCAACCACTTCTCCTCACCCTGTTTTCCCATCAACACTTGTCCCATACCTGCTTTGTCCCATTACCCACTTTGTCCCCATCACCACTTCTCCATCACATTTCTCCCATCACCACTTCTCCCCATCACCCACCTCTCTCCCATCACCCACTTCTCCCCATCACCCACTTCTCCCCATCACCCACTTCTCCCCATCACCCACCTCTCTCCCATCACCCACTTCTCCCCATCACCCACTTCTCCCCATCACCCACTTCTCCCCAAAACTCACTGTTTATAATGGAAATTCAAATTTTCTCTAAATCAATTAATGTAATTTATTGAGTTTAATAATCAATATTTACTATTTCCTCCTGGGTTGAGTGGAAGAGCGTGCAGACACTCATGTGAGTGAGCAGGGGGTCGAGGCGAAGGACCAATCAATGTTAATGGTAGCCAAAACGGAAAAAATCTCCTGTAGGTTGTGCATTCTCTGGTAGGATGCCGCCGCCATTTTTTTTCCTGAGGCATTGTCGAGCAATGTTTGAGCGATTTTCTCTAGGATGTGTCTGTCCCTAATGGGACATTATGTGATCTCTGGCAGGGACCAGCTTCTTGGAAGACTCTGTAAGGATATTCAACTGTGTTGCTGCTTTGATGAAGTTTGGGTCGTGAGTTTCTTTTGCACCTCACAAGCGTTCTGGGACTGTCTCCTTCACTAGTTCACGGGAACTGCTACACCACTGCTTTCCTTCTAGTCCCACTGGAAATGTTGTTTGTTCCATTGATTTTCCCAGAGACAGATGTGGTGCTTTCCTGAACATTAATTTCAGGAGTTCGTAACATTCACTCAGTTTTTGGCTGTTAGAGAAGAGTGCACACGTTAAGCAGCAGTCAGCCTGGGCATGGTGAGACACCCTTGTAGACGATACTGAGTGTCGTGGGCATCCAAATCATTTGTATCGTCTACCCTCTTCAGGTTATCCAGTTTGCCTTCGAAGACTGGATGACTCAGCGATGCGTCTAGTTCGATGGTCTTAGTGGGGGGGGAGGGGAGATGGCGGTTGAGGTTTCTGTAAGGATGGTTCTAACAGCAGTAAGTATTTGTTCGGTGGTCGAGATGACTTCATATTAGGAAGGATTAATGAAGAATCCCAAAACTTCTCCCAGCGGCTTCTGTTCTTGATGGTCTGCCACCAGAGACTCCACTCTACTTGCCAGAGTGCCATCATCCAGGGAAAAGATGCTAAATTCGCTGCTCAAGTTGCAGATAAGGTTTCTTACCGCTGTGTAGGAGTACAGTGGAGTGATTGGGTCACCCTGCTGGACGCCTCCTGCTTGGCGGCCTCTTACGAGGTGGTTACATGCTGGCCAAACAACAAGATTGACCCCTTGCTGAAGCCAGCTGATATACAAGGAGAAAGACAAGACCAGGGAAATGCTCTCCAACAGCTGCCAAGACCACGTCTCTTTTAACCACGTTAATGCATTCTTGAAGTATATTTGTATGTGCATCTGTAAATAAACCTTTCTTCTGTATTCCCTCTGTGTATAAATGTATCTACTCAAAAAAATGGGAAATTTTTAAATTTGGCGGTTTGAATGTGCGTGTATGTTGCACGAATACTTAGAATAAACTTACTGTTAGATTTACGAATAGAAGGAAGTTCAGTATGTTAGCAGCGAACGAAAGATAAAACTGGTGGGAGAGTTAGAATATGTATGAATCAAGATGGGTAAGTCAGGTATATCTGAGAGAACGGGTGATAAAGAAGGACAGCAGATAATGTGTAAACTAAGTATGGAATGAAAAGTGAACGGAGACTTTTCAGTCCGAGTCTGACCGAAACGTTGTTGTAAGCTCTCTCTCCGTTGTGAGGGTTATTTGTGCATTAAATTAAAGAATTCTGTTGTGAGTTGGATGTGAGAAGCGGATTACAGTATTTAGTATATAACTTAGAGAGAGGGAGAGAGAGAGAGAGAGAGAGAGAGAGAGAGAAGAGAGAGAGAGAGAGAGAGAGAGAGAGAGAGAGAGAGAGTAAATGGAAAGAATGAAAGTGGATAAAGAAAGGAGAAGACAGAACTAGAAAAAACATCTCATTTCCATAGTAAATGTTTCGATCGTGGACCTCGTTCACATCAGTGATGCATGGCGTCAGTCATACAAGATGTACCACCAGAGAGACGTAGAGGACTCTGACGACGCGCTGACGATGTCTGGCTCGTA